GAAGGCTGGCACCTGTGAGCACCACTCTGCCTGGGGATCAGTGTCAGTGCAACAGAGGGGCAGAGGAACATACTGTGGTAGCCCTGTGTAAAGCAACTGGCTGTCAGCTCAGCTTTCCTGAGCCTGCTTCCCAACCCAAGGGCTGCCCTTGGCCTGGCAGAAACAGCTTGATAGGCTGAGACAAATTCCTGATGGGGAAGTGGAGGTCAAGCACTATCTCCAGCGCAGAGAAGCTGGGGTTTGGAAAGCAAGGTGAAGAATAGAAGCCAGCTGAGTAGGGGCAGAATCTCAGCTAGGCTTTAGGCAAAAGTAAGTCAGAAGTGGGCAAAATATTTGGTGAAAAATAAGGAGATGGTGAGGCTGGCTGTAGGGGGGCCACTGGGATACATTTGTGCCTGAACAGCGTGGTCTGTGATTCCCATGGCTAACATGAGCTTCCAGAGCAGGCTCTGGAAGGCTGTTCTAGCACCATCTAATTTACTGGGGCTGGAATTGCATTGTGAGTGTCAGAGCTGCTGAATGTGCAAGCTTGCAGTTTCACACTGCCTTAGCACAAATGCTCCAAGCATTAGATAAATGTCAAGCACAAGTGAAGAAAGCGGGTTGTTCTCATGCTATCTCTAACAGTATGTTGGATGTGCTTGAAATAGAACGGTCTATATGGACTGCTGTGAACTGGCTGGGCTATTTTAAGGGTTACTAAACCTTGTGGCTGGTGTCTTTTGGGAGACGGGACTGAGGCAGCCACACGGTAGGATTTGCTCTCTGGAGCAGCTTTGCAGGGTAGGCTGCTCTTCTTGGGGTGCTGCTGTAATTCTGGGGGTGACAGAACAGTCTTTGAAAATCCTGGCCACTTGCTGCTGGGTTTCTCCCCCTTGCTTTGGGAATTGGATGCAGCAAGGCTATTGTGAGCAGCTTTTAGAAATGGCTCTAGGTTTCCTTCTCTGTGCATAGAGGAGTGAGAGAGCCCAGTGAGCTCCCTTTGAGCAAAGAAGTGGATCCAAGGATATCTGGGTTTGCTTTAAGATCATCACCTGGCTACTGTACTTGGAGATGCTCAGTAGTTTTCTATCTTGAACGAAGTATTTTCATAACTAACTGTAGGGTTTGAAAATACTATACCTAAAGCCACTAGAACAAACAAGTGAAAAATCTGACTAAAACCTGGTTTGGTTTTTTGTTGTTGTTTTGGGGATTTTTTTTCTATCTGTGCCACAGTGCTCAAGTCACCACAACAGTTTTGGAACATATGCTAGTGAGAGATTGAGTGATGTTTTTGTTGACCTCAGGTGTCCATATGCTGTGTTGTTAGGCTCTTGTTAGGTGTAAGCTGGAGCAGGTGGGATGAAGGTTGTTGCAGGCATTAAGTGCATCTTGAGGCAACAACACAACCAGAAATATGGGAGTGCTGTATTGGAAGAATGCAGAGCTGAATTAAATCTGATTGTTCCCTGGCTTAGCAGTGAAATGCTCCGGGTGCTTTGTGGCAGAGGAACAACACACTGCTGTTCTCACTTAATTTCCAGCATCACCAACATCAGGTACTTCACCAGTAAGTGAAGCATGTCCTGATTTTTAGAAATGCTCTTATTCCTGGTTAATGACAGAACCTACCAGGGTTTCTAAATTTCTCCGCATCCTCTGTGCTTTACTGTATTTCTGGATAGGTCATGGCAGACCAGGGAAATGGGGAGTTGTGAAGATTGCATGGTTGGAAGTAAGAGATCTGTTAGTTTTTGGAGAGTGGAAGTGAGGATCCAACGTGAGTCAGTGGAAGCAAGCGGTGGCTTGAACAGAAGCTGTGATTCTGTGTGCCTCATCCTGCAGTGCCCTCCCAATTCTCTAACACAATTTGCCTCTGTCTTATCAGTATTTTTGTGTTTTATACATCACTGTTGCTGGTGTCCTAAATGAGAAACCACAGAATGTATTTTGCATAATCTAATATTGTACAGTTGGGGGAAATTGTTAGTAAATTGTTTCTTATAAATTTTGCTGTTTCCCTCTCTCCTTGGCTGTGTCCTCTGTGATCTGTAAAGAAATCTAAGCTGTAGCTTAATATCAAATGCACTTCTCCTGCTAAGAAATCCTCATAGGAATGAGACTGAAAAGTGGTTTATTTATGTCCTCATTTATATCATAAAAATTATCATTGGAAATTAAACTTGAAATGGAATTCAACAGTGTCCATATTGTAGGACAGAAAATATAGTTTTTTCTCAAAATATGTGTCTAACTCCTATTTGCAGATAGTGCACAGAGGGGGCTCAGAAGAGGAAAATGCTTTGGGACAGGAGATTGGTGTAGAGAAACTATTGTAAATAGGGCAGGTGAGGAGAGTCTGATGCTGGGCACAGAAAGCATGGGGTGGAGTAGGGGAGGCATGCTCAGGAGACAAGGCTGTGCAGGGAGGTGGGGAGGCCAGGCCTGTGCGTGGCTGAAAAGGGGCAAACAAATGCCTGGTGATGGCAGGAAGATGTGGTGGTTACAGGGTAGGGTTGTGGCCAGTGGCAGAAGAGGAAGATGGGAGTTTGCACAGATGCTTTTGTTACAGCGTAGAGAAGAGCTCTTGGGTTTGGAAAATCCCTGACAGCTTGTTAAACCCTGTGTTTTCCCGTGACCCTGTAAAGATTGCTTGACGCTTCTGGTCATTCTCTCTTCGTGAAGTGTTCAGATGAGTGTTTGCTTTTCTTGGCTCTGAGGAGGGGCAGCAGGAGGCTGTGCTGGCAAAGCTCTGAGTTTGCTCTAAAGGGGTATCCCTGGACAGAGCCAAGGCGAAGCACAGCCAACTTCCATCCATTGCCCTCACCACCACTCCAGACCTGCCAGTCACCTGGAAAGCACTCATTTGGGGAAAAACTTTCCCAGTAATTGTAGGAAACAGCATTTCAACATTGTTGCTTCAACCTCAGCATCTTTCTTGCAGTGCCAGGGACTGGGCCTGGAGCTGCTGTTTCTCAGTGGATCAGATTTAACTCTTGGGATGAGCTGCCTTCTGATGGGAATAGCAGAACTGCTGGGGCAGGGTAGCCAGCTCCTGTGGCAGTGACAGGACCAGCATCCTTGCACCTGGCTCAAGGGAAGTCCCAAGGGTGAGGAAGAGTTTTTGCAGCCTTTCTGACAAAAAAGGCAGGAGCCTTGGTGCAATGCTTGCCTGCCATGCCAAGCAGCTGTACTCCTCTACCTCAGTAGGAATCAATCAGAGAACTTGGAAATAAGATTCATCTTCTTGGTCCTCCTGGATTGGGCTCAGTCTGAAGGGTGTTGAAAATATTGATGCTGGTGATCAAGACCAGTTAAGCTCCTTGAGGAATCTTTTACAGAATCACTTAAACAAGAAGAGATTATGAGGAAACATTGGTTAGATTTTTCAGGAATAACTTGTGACTGAGGCAGGAAACAGATTTAGATATGTGAAGCCTTCAAAATAGCTTGGAAGGTGACTTTGGTGGGTTCCATGGAAACTCATCTGCTCTGTAGCTTTGCAGAAGACTTATACAAGAGTGCTGCCTGGCTCAAAAAAAAATAGATGCTAAAGGAAAAAAAATCTGCTAGATCTGAAATTGAAGCATGGCCTGCAGGAGATGGGGGCTGTTCCTGGGCCCTTCTGGAGCACCCCTGCTGGAGCAAAGCCTGCTACAACTTCCTGGGTTACTGACTGCAATTTAGGTTAGGGTGGTTGCTGCAGGAACAGGCAGGTTTGCAGGAGAGACTCCTGTTGCAATGAGGCTGCAGGATGGTCTCTGTTCGGGCTTTGCACATGTCCTGTTGCTGTAACATTCACATACAGAGCATGAAAACAACTGAAAAAATAAATGACTTTAAAAAGAAGCTACTCAAATTGTAATGACATTTGGGAGTTCTGGAATGAGGTGATTGGTTACTGAATGGTTTTGAGCTGTCTGTGGAGTCAGTGGATGAAGCTGGAAGCCTATTGCACTGTATAGCTTATGTCAGGTGGTTTGTTACCCCTTTTTTTCCATCACTCGGTCTTTCCACTACAGAAGCCTAAGCTCTGCTTCATGCCAGGTGCTCCCTGTTGGTGGCATCTCTTATTCTTCCTGCAGGAGGAGATAAAATGTGAGTGTGTGGGTGGTCAGGCTGCTGATGGGCCTCAGTGATTCCACTTGACTGAAGGGCTGGGGGTGGCCAACTGGAGCAGAGCAGCACGGCACTGCCCCTCTTGCTGCCCTCCAGCTACTTCAGAAACCTGAAACAGGACGGAAGTCCTCCTTGCCAAAACTCACTACTTTCCAAAATGAAATGGGGCTGAGCATAGGAATTTTATGTGTAGGAATTTAGTCCTTGTTCAAAGGCATCCCCAAATGTCTTTGGATTCTGCAAAGGCTAAAACAGATTGTGAGATGGGAGCATACTGACTGAATCTTTCAATAACCAAAACCAAGAAATAAAATAAGACAGTTTTACTTGTGCTGTCTGACATCTCTTATAATGGCTGTTTTTCAGCTAGGAGAAAACTGTTCAAAATCCAACTGACCTGCTGTTTCAGAAGCACCTGGGCAGGACTCTGCTCTAGATTCTTAGATCCAAAGGAGAATCTCTGCAAGAATCAGCTGTGGTGACTTTTCTAAGATATGATCCAAGCCATCTATTTGAGGAATGAAGGATATCAGTTGCTTTTAACAAGATGTGATGCTACAGAATTTTCATAGTTATGCCTGGGTTTGCTGTAGGAGGAAAAGACCTTTTCTGAGCATTAGCAAAGAGCTTTCTAGACTAGGGGGTTTCTCCTCTCTTGTGTCTAATTAGATTGAACCCTAGTGCTCAAATCAACGAGTCCAAATGCTAATGTTGTCACCCACCCCCATAATGGGAAGTTGGTTGCTTTATGTAGGTGTGGTTCTTTGGAGGTTTTTTGTTGGGTGTTTTGTTTTAATCTTTTCCTCTGCTGTTTCTCAGAACTGGTCCAAAGAGCACGCTCTTCCCTCTGGGTTTGTTCTTTTCACCTTCACCGTTGGCTCTCGCTGTGTGTTTTCATTCATGCAGACAAATGGCTCTGACATGTACGTGACGTGCGCGCGGCCAGGCCGAAGGTGTTTGGCTGGGGCTGCCTGTGCAGCCACCCTGAGGGCTTTTGTGTGCAAGGGCACCTCTGCTTGCTCCTCTGAGCCCTGCTCTGCGTCCCCTTCCCGAGAGGAATGCTTCCAGCTGGGAGGCAGGTGAATGAGGGTACATTAAGGTAACCTTTGCAGCAGGCGTTCAGGGAGGATAGGAAGACGTGCAGGATGGATCTTGTTCTTTTGGCATTGTTTCTGTGTTGCAGACCTTGCAGTGGCCTCGGAAGCATGTGGCTGTGGCACTGGGGGCCCTGAAGACCGCCTGGCTTGCAGGGAGGAATGCTACGGTGGGCAGTGCACTTGGAAGGCGGGCCACGGAGGGTGAACCACGCGGCCGTGGCTGTGGGGCACAAGGTCTATTCCTTTGGTGGCTACTGCTCTGGAGAGGACTATGAGACCCTGCGGCAGATCGACGTCCACGTTTTCAACGCAGGTAAAGTGTCCTTGTGGGGCACAAAAGGACTTGGCTTGTTGGGCTCAGTTACTGCTTTTCTTGCCTGCTGGTGCCTGACATGTTATACCCTGTAACATGCTGTCCGACTCTTTAATTTCCAGAAAATGTTATCTGAGTAGGTAGGAGCCTCTTTCTTTGTGCAGCCTTGCATTTTCGGCTTCAGGGGCAGGACCCAGAGGAGCTGTACTTGATCTGACTGCTAGGATAAGGACTCACTGAAGTAGTCACATAGCCATGGTTCGGTTTGTCCTTGTTCTCTGCGAACACAAACTCAGCCAGGTGCAAGGAGGTGATATCGAGCTGGCTCAGGTCCTCCCTCTCATTTGCAGCATGTCCATGTTCAGCTGCCCATAGTGTGGAATGAGCAGGGTGTGAGCCAGTGCACACAGTTAAGATTCCAGGTGTAGACATCTGAGCTGTTTCCCTGTGGGGGCAGCTGACAACTGGTGCTAGCATGATGGAGTCAGTAAGGGCATGTAGCTAGAGGGAGGCCTTCCCATTTTGGTAACAACTATTGTGCAGATTCACAACATAGCTTAGAAAAGCAACTGCAACTGGAGCCATTTGTGTAGGGTAACCAGTACCTGTCATGAGGTTGAGTTGGAGCCATGCTTGTGCTGACACAGGCTGTATTTCTTGATTGAGTGTTCCTTGAACTGAAGAGGTTACTGAGCTGGTCCATTAAGTATTTCCCTGTAATTAGGCAGGTGATTAAAAAACTGCACAGATGCTTGGGTGGCTCCAGCTAAAGAGAGCCAAGAACAGAGAACCAATGACCAGTTCAGCGTGCTGAATGCTCTGTGAGCACCCACATGTAGACAAACCTGGTTTGTCTGTAAGATGCAGTGAATTCACTCCTTTAAGACTGATGTGCAGCAGGGATAAAAGCATTGGTTACAGAGGGATGCCAAGGTGACCTGCTCTCAGTGTAGAGGGGGTGTAGCTCAGGATCCTGTGAACAATGACATTCACCTCTGTCCAGAGGGACTGGGCTTTCACACTCAACACAGCTGAATGTTGTAGAATGTGTCAAGTAGAGCAGCCACTCTTCTGGGGAAGAATAATGACTGTGCCCAAAGGAATGCTCTTGTGTTGTCTCTCCGTCTTACCACTCCCAAATATTAAAGTGTCAGAATGCTGCAGCCACCACATGGGAAGTGACAGTGGCTTCCCAACGCCTTACTCAGCTAGCATTGTAAGGTGGCAGTGCTAAAGCCAAGATACTAGACTTTGAATGGTCTCTTGTCAGTCTTCCAAAGATGAAAACTATGTTTTAGGTAGGAAGCATCCAGTCTAGCTTGACTTTAGCTTTGGATGTGATTCCTCAGTGCCCTTTCTGCCTGTGGGGTAGATGCCCACCTTTTGAGATGCCTGATTTTTCCCTTTCCCTTTATTAGTATTTCAGGGGAACTGAGACTGTTTTCTGCTGTATTTTTTATCAGCTCCATGTAGAAAACAAACCTGGAGGCTGTATGTGGTAGAAGGACGGTGACTGGTCCTGTTATGTAATGGCTGTGTAACACTTGTTGTGGCTCTTGCACTGTCATTAAACCCTGTAATACCTGTTGACTGTTCTGGCTGCTGCTGGACATGACACACAGGAAGGGGAACCTGTAATCCCAAGGAACTCCTATTAGTAATGCAAGGTTAGCAGGGAGAACTTGAAACAGATGGGGTAAAGGAGGCAGACAGCCACCTCATCTAGAGCTTGAAAACCAAAACAAAACCAAACAAACAACGTTCCTACAAAGCTGCTGGGTTGCTTTACTTAAACTGTGCTTCTGCAAGTCCAAGTGATGCCTTCAGGAGTTCCCTTGCATATTACTGCAGTGAGTTATTCCTGTGCTGCCCATTCTTCCAGGTTTGAGTATCTTCAGCAATCTCACAGCTTGAAGTAGTGTCTGCATTCATGGTCACCTCTGTACTTTTTCATTTTTCTTTCCCTATTTTTCTGTGTGTGTGCTGTATCTTTCACTCACAGTCTAGGATGAGCCAGAGTGGAAACCTTTTCAATGAATTGTTGTAGAGCAGAGCCTGTTTTGTCTTCTGGGCCTCCAGAGGACTTCCTTCTGTATTTCTTAACTAGCTACTACTCGGGGTCAGACACAGCTTTCTCTTGTTTACTCGACTGCTTCTGCGCCTTGTCACGGGGTAAAAAGCACCACGCAACATGGGTTATGAACTGTGAGCAATTCAGCAGGCTTAGCATTTGACATGGGCTCAAACTTGTGTTTCCAGTGTCTCTGCGCTGGATCAAGTTGCCTCCAGTGTGGACAAACAGCCGAGACCACGTGAGGGAGGTGCCCTACATGAGGTACGGGCACTCGGCAGTGCTCATCGACGACACCGTCTACATTTGGGGCGGTCGCAACGACACGGAGGGAGCCTGCAATGTGCTCTATGCTTTCGACGTCAGTAAGTTCCAGCTTCTCCCTGTTCCTTGCCACAACTGCTCTTGATCAGACCTCCTCTCTGCCCCCCACTCTGCTCCCCAGCTTGTTTTCCTGTCCCTCGGTGACAATGTGGAGGAGATGGTGTCACCCTCGGTGACAATGTGGAGGAGATGGTGTCACTGTCTGTTTCAGCAGTTTTAGAAGTGGAGTGTGGTGGCCATTGTGTCTGCGTGCTTACAGCTCTGTAAAAGCCTTTGGGCAGAGATTGCTGATATTTTCTAATCATGAAAATGGTTTTAATTTTTCTATCAGCTTTGTGTGCTCTCTGATGGTAGCTATAACTGTTCTCTCTATGTGATTCCTTAATTGTGGCTGAAGGGTGAAGCAAGAAGGAGCTGGGCTCTTGATGATTATGGTTCCTCTCCAGTGTGGTCCTTCTTTCTGAAGGTGTGAAGGAGAGCAAGGAACAAATCACAGGAGTAGTCCAGGACAGGATGGCAAAATCAGGGGAGACATGAGTCAAGTTAGATAAACTCCTTAAGCCTTTTGTTTGGCTTCTCCATAGCACTGCTGTTGCACCTCTGGAGAAAAGACACCATCAGGAACTGCATGGACACAAGTGTCAGGAAAGCAAAGGAGTATGTCTGGATTTTGGATGCAAGTCTATCTAAATACTGGCCAGTAACTGTCTTGCTGAACTTGCAAGGAAACTGTTTGCTCTGGTGTTTGGTCCAGGAATCTCTTCTTTACCAGGAAATATCTTACAGCTTATGGCACAGGGTTTCCCCCTTCCTTCCCCTGACACATGCAGCTGAGAAGCCACCAGTAAACCTCTGCCTACACAGAGGCTTTGTAGTGGGGCCTGCCTAGTCTCCCTGGCAGCTCCAGTGCTTCAGCATTAAGTGAAAATTAACAGAAAGTCCTGCTCCAAACCCTCTGCAGCTGTCTGTACACACAGGCCTGCCATTCCTGGAAAGTAAGGCTGGCAGTCACAGTGCCATGTCTGCCATGTAAGTTCCACTGTAGGAGTCATATCAGGCTAAATAAAGTCCTGTCTGAGTGCAGTTTTGTCCCTGTGGTGTCGAGCAGATCACAAATTGAGGTATTTTCCATCTCTAATTTAACATGCTGCACTTGGGTGAGCTTTTGCTGATACAATGTGGCTGAGTTTGGAAGCAGCCCCAGGGAGAAAAGGAACTCGATAGCCCTGAGATGTCTCACTAGAGGCTCCCCAGGGATTCTGCTGACCTTGCAAGACCCTTTGTGTGGTGCCAGCTGGAGCATAGGTGGACAGTTGTGTCCACAGGCCAAGTTCAGGGAACTCATCCTCATACTTTGGCTCCAGTGTTACGACTCTCTGAAATAAGAACTGTTTTTGGCAGCCAGGGGCCGTTAGGGAGGGTGGGAGAATGTCTCCTGCAGCCTCGAGGCTTATCTGTGCCTCTTGGAGCTCTCAGGGCAGGTGCCTGTTAGTGCTTGGCACTGAGTCGCTGGCTTGGCTCTGTGCTGCCCTGGCATGGAGAACAGCTCTGGCTGGATTTTAAGTCATCTTCTAAATCGAGCCAGCCCCTGGAGCGTGCAGGCTAAGGGGCTGAATCTGCTTGGTGCAGGCTCACAGGGAGCATTGTGAAGGGTGGAAAGTGAGGAAGAGGAGATGAGAATGTAACAAGCGGAGCAGATAAGACAGGGAGAGAGCTGCACTGCAGAGGTGGAGATATGCACAACAGCTAGCATGGAGAATTTGTGATTAAGTGATTTCTGTCTGGGTTTGAGAGCTGTTTTTCCTCAGTCTTGCTCAGTTACTGAGCGTCTCCCCGCCATGAGGTCAGTTGTGCCACTTAGCATTATTGCTTCATTGTAATAGAAAGTGTGAATGCAGAGTTAAGTGACTCACAAGTACACTCTGCAAGAGATTGGGTAAAAGTAACATTGTTCAAGCCGTGCTGTACTACTCACACTTAAAATGTGAGCTCTTTGTCCGGTCTGGCAGTCGGTGGCCATGCCAAGAGGCTGAGGCTTCTGTCCCTGTGTCCCTCTGTGGGGGCTCAGGCAGGTAGCCTTGCCCAAAGAAGCTTGCAGCCTCTCTGGCAGAGCAGGTGCTATGAGAGAAAACAAGAATGATTTTTGCCTTAGAAATTAAGAACCGTAGTAATAGAACTATCCCACCCCAACTCCTACTGTGTTTCCTCAGCATTGCCTCTTGTTTTGTTTCAGACACACACAAGTGGTTCACACCAAAGGTGTCTGGAATGGTCCCAGGGGCAAGAGATGGGCACTCAGCTTGCGTCCTGGCAAAGAGCATGTTTATCTTTGGAGGCTATGAACAGCTGGTGAGTAGTCTCTGTAACTGTTAATTGGTGAGCCCTTGGGAAAGAGGGTGTTGATACCCAGGACACTGATAGAGGCAGGACACAGGAGTGTATATGAATTCCAAGTCGCTGTCATTTTGTAACTTAGCAAAGTTATGGCATTAGTACCCGGGTTATGGTAATTGTTTTATGGAGAAGATGGTTGGAAAAGCAGGTCCAAAAAAGTGTTGGAGTTTTTTTTTTTAAATTTCACAAAACATTTACCACAAAGAGGTAAAAATTTAAATTTTTTTCTGGCTCATTTTTCAGCCAAATGTAGATACATAAATGCACAACATTTTTTAATAAGTATATATTGATCTACATTTATTTTAATTTGGCTTAGAAGTGAGCCAGAAAAATCACTTTCTGCAGTGTTGCTGTGAGGTTTTGTCCTAGTCTGGTGTATGTTCCCTATAGTCTCCACCTGCTCTGACATCTTGCTATCCCTTTCAGCAAACATTTGGTTGCCTTCCCATTAAGAATACCTTGAGCCTGCAATAGCTGTCAGTGTACCTAATGCTCTTTTTAGCAAATCCTTATGATGTAATCTTAAGAAGTGGATAAATAAAAATTATCACCAGCTTCCAGAACAGATGTGCAAAGTCACACCCGTTTGTTTGGAAGAAAGGTGAGGCTCTGTTACAGAAGTCTCTGGGTTATTCCTTCTTTTCTGAGGGTGATAGCAGGCCAAATCCATTATGTTGATTACAGCAGCAGGAGGGGTTCAGGTGTCTTTTTTTCAACCAAGACCAAATAAACCTCTGGCTGTCTTGCTGCTCTCTACCTTGCCTGGAGGAGCAGGAGTCCACATTGTTTGTGTGAATACAATCTCCTTCAGGCAGCCAGCTATAGATGAGTTTTGTGGGACCTCAGAACCTGGAGTGTATTTGCTCCTGGATATTCAGCTTCCCAGAAGTAATCTTAGCTTCTGCATCTTGTTAGGCAGCCTTAGCAGAGCCAATTTGACTTTTCCTACTAATGCCTCTTTCATCTGCTGCTACATGGGGAGGAGGCAGGCTTCTGCCATGAATCTATTGTGTGCCTTTGGGGGAGGAACTGAGCACCAAATAAATGGGAAAGCTGCAGGAAGAGACAGGACACCTTTGGGAAGAAATGGGCTTTGCTTTCCTCTCGTTAAGTGATAAGTGCTGCCTGAGCAAGCACCTTGTTTCTTAGGAAGTACTGAATCCAAAGGGATGCTCCAGGTCTGCATCCTTTCTGGGGCTGGATGTGACCAGGCTTCTCAGTCTCTTTGTGACCAAGCTGCTTGTGTGTCTTCCAGGCTGACTGCTTTTCAAATGATATCCATAAATTGGACACCACAAACATGACGTGGACCTTAATCTCTGCCAAGGTCAGTGTCTGTTTTTCCCTCTGGTTTGTGGAGGAAGTTTTGCATCTGTTATTCTCTGGGGTAGCTGCCCACACTTGCCTCACAGCTTCTGGCTGATGTGGCCGGGATCTACAGGATGGGAAGTTCTCCAGGAGAAGGCAGCCACCCAACTTCCCCATCAAGATGTGTTATTTCCCTGGCTAATCTGCACTCTTTTCTTTTGTCTTTGTTTTCTACTCTGTCCTTCAGGGTACTCCAGCTCGCTGGAGAGACTTTCATTCAGCTACCATCATTGGAACAAAGATGTACGTGTTTGGTGGCAGAGCTGATCGTTTTGGGCCATTTCACTCTAACAACGAGATCTACTGTAACCGCATTAAAGTGTTTGATACAGAAACCAACTCCTGGCTGGACTCCCCTCCCACTCCCGTGCTCCCGGAGGGCAGGCGGAGCCATTCAGCCTGTGAGTGTGGGTCTGCTGAGGGTGGAGGATGGTGGAGGGAAGTTTCTGCCTGCCTTAGAAGGGGTGTCTGCTCTGCTGGGTGGGGCTGTGGGTTAGAAAGGGTTGCACAAAGCCCAGTTTCTGTGGAAAGCTGCTGCTCACCCCACACTGCACATGAAGGTGATGTCAGGAGAGGTGGACAGCCAGCACCACGTTGCTTTGTGTTTGGTTTTGGGTCAGGGACCTGCTGGGTGACCCTCTGATGTCTGTGCTTACTCCCTACAGTCAGCTACAACGGGGAACTATATGTATTTGGTGGCTACAATGCACGCCTGAACAGACACTTCCATGACCTCTGGAAATTCAATCCAGGTATTTATGCTTTTAGCTTGCTGCAGTCATAGTGCTCCAGGCCCTCAGGCATGTGAGTGCTCAGAGAAACATACTGTCCTAGGAGTACTGCTTGGGGGGAATGGCTCCTGGCTCTTCTGACAGCAACTTGCTACCATGCCTGTTCCTCTTCAGGATGTTTCCAGATCTCAGTTAGAAAATAGAAAATGAGGTGTTGCTGAAAGACAAATTTCATTGGAAAAACTTTGTGTTGTTCTTAAATGTGCAAAAGTACTGACAGAAGAGAAGATATGGGGAAGCAGTAGGGTTAGGGAAGAGAGAGACTATAGCTGGAGAAACCATTCAACTTGAGCTGCAGGATCACCATCTCTTGGTACCAGCTCAAGCTGTGCTGCAGAAGGGGTGTTTCTTCAGCTGGTACCTGAATATCAGTCTGCTGTGAGCTGGTTTGGGGTCCTCAGGCACGTTTCACTGTCTAGACTCATTTTGTTTGCTAATTGCCTTGCATAGTAAAGTTACCAACGAGCTGCTCCCCAAGCTGATTGTGAGCTGGTGTGAGAGCTCCTGCAGGTTTCATTCCTGTGCATTGTCGCCCCCAAGCATCCTTGCCACAGAGAGCAGCAAGAACAAAGGCTGCTGTCTCCACCTGGTCCAGTTCTCCACGCCCTCTTCCTGCAGCCGAGCTGTCCCAGCAGCTGATGCGCCTCTGCCAGGGCGCTCTGCGATCGCAGCCTGCCAGCAGATGGAGCTGGTTCCTGGATCTCCCTCCTCCAAATCCCGACCGCAGCAGGCTCTGGGGAGGGGAGGCTGCCTGTCTGTTCCTGCAGCTCTGCCCAGTACAGCTCCCTGTGATGTCGGACCCGCTGCCGTGGCAGTCCGTGGGGCCTGGTGCTCAGGCTTTGCAAGTGAAAGGCCTTGATGGGGCACTGAGCAACCTGGTTTAGTGCAAGGTGTCCCTGCCCATGGCAGGGGGTTGGAACAAAATGGTCTTTAAGGTCCCTTCCAACCCAAACCATTCTATGATATAATCTGCAAATCCTGTCTCAGTAGGCAGAGCTCCAGGACTGTGACTGGCATCTGAGTGGCACTTCAGTAATAACCTCTTGGAATTAGTCATTAATGAGGAGGTCAGGAGAGAGGGTGGATATTGGCTAGCTGGTGTCTGTGGGGTAGTGAGCCTCTGCTTTTCCTGTGATCTGTTTAAATTCATAACCTGCTTATAGCTGGTCTTGGCCAGGCTCTTTTGACAAGCTGGTGCTCTCTTTTCCTCCTGTTAGTTTCTCTTTCTTGGAGGAAGATTGAGCCCAAAGGGAAAGGGCCGTGTCCTCGGCGCCGGCAGTGCTGCTGCAGAGTGGGGGACAAAATCATCCTCTTTGGAGGTACCAGGTGAGTTGTGTGAGGTGGCTCCTCGAGAGGCTTTGCCAGTCCCTTCAGCACAGTGTCCCTTCACGCTCTGACCCACGCTGTATCAGATGGACTTCAGAGGCACGTGGCAAGTGTCAGCCTATCTGACAAGTGTAGGTAATCATGTACATCAGGGCCCCCCTGAAAAAAGGCCATGGAAGAGACTGAAGGTGTCATGTAAGCTTGTAAAGCATCTGGTGACAAGCCATCTTGTACATGTAGAGACAGAAGGGTGTAACAGGCTGCTCAGGAAGGGCTGTGCAGTGCTCAAGCTTTCTGGTAAAGAGGTTGTGGGGATAAGAGAGGAGATCCTGCTGTCAGAAGGACATGTTTCTCAGTCTGCTGTGCCAGAGCAGACCTCAGAGTGACTTATCTTCGCCTACATGCTGCCCTGCTGCTCCCACCAGAGCTTCTTTCTTCCATTGGCAAGTGTGGGTTCTGCTGCCAAGCTGCAGTGGGATGTCAGCTCAGCTGGGAGCTGTTTGAGGAGCCTACACACATGACAAGACAACGTTGCCTTCTGCGCCAGTGTTCCTTAGCAACATTCCCATTCACAACAGGGACTTGGTGTTAGGGATTTAGCTGTCAAACACTGGAAGTGATACTGTCAGGGTGCAGGGCAGCTGGATGTGGCCAAGAGCCTTAACAGCTGCTAAAAGAAAGGAAGTGGCCTATCACCAGGACACACTCTATGCTGTCTGAAGTGACAAATTGCAGCTCTGGAGCACAGTCCTGCTTGCCAGTATCTACCTTGCAGAGACATCTTAAATGCTTTCAGCTCTCCATGTGGTTTGGAAAGCTTTGGGTCTCTCTCTGGGATATTGTCAGTAGCTTTTTGGAGATGCTTCTGAAGCAAGCTTGGGGCAGAGAACCAAGCAGGACAGTTTCTGCTGGTGTCCTGACCATACCAGTGTGTGACGGGGTGAAGGGCCTTCAGGTTCCAGGGGTTCAGGGGGAAGTGTGCTTAGGTGTAGGATGTCCATGTGACTTTGAGAGGTGAGGTATGCAGAGGTGCTGAGTTTATCCAGTCTCCTCAAAAGATACTGGGTGCTGGTCAGTACAGCAGAAGGCTTGGTAGGGCTTTATGGGAGTTTGGGGTGGTCCCAGATGCTGTGCTGTGTAGATTTGTGTTACAGCAGCAGCAGCTGAACTTTGATGTTAAGCCTTGGCACTCCTGGGAAATGCTAGCAAACCACATCAAATTTGACACCAGCTTTTTGGAGTTTGGTTCACCCTTGCCAGGCAATGCAGCAGTAAAATGCTAGCAAACCACAACAAATTTCACACCAGCTTTTTGGAGTTTGGTTCACTCTTGCCAGGCAACGCAGCAGTGCCTTGTCTTCTCCATGAACCACTTCAGAATTCAGCTTGTTTCTTAGGTCAGGCCCACCCCCAATACAGGCACATTCATCAGCACTAGCTGGGCTGGGAAGAGCTGCTGGCAGCCAGGAATGCAGCCTGCTTGAGCTGTTGCCAGGCAATGCAGCAGTGCCTTGTCTTCTCCATGAACCACTTCAGAATTCAGCTTGTTTCTTAGGTCAGGCCCACCCCCAATACAGGCACATTCATCAGCACTAGCTGGGCTGGGAAGAGCTGCTGGCAGCCAGGAATGCAGCCTGCTTGAGCTGGAGGGAGGGTCTTGCAGGCTGGGGAAGTGGGAGGTGGGGGTGGGTCTGCTCGCTTCCTGTAACAGTTATCAGGTGTATTCTGGAGCTGCCTGGCGAGATAAGAAGTTTTCCAGGAAGTCGTTGTAATGGAGAACTCCCAGTGGTCTGCCTCCTGACCTGTGCTCCCCTGGCTGGGAAGGGGGAGGGGTTGGGGCTGTCCTGCAGGGATTCTCAGAGGATGAGCCGGCAGGCTCAGCTTTCTAGGGAAAGGCACTGGGGGATGGGCAGGCAAAGCCCTTTTGTGTTTGCCCTTCCAGGATTCACACATCCTGTAGACTGCTGAAGAGGCACTTCTGCAGGCTGCTTGCTCCTATGGCATCCAAAAGCTTTGTTTCTTTGATAGTCCTTGCCAGATCTTGGTCTGGTTTCCTCCCAAGCCCACCAGCAATTCAGTGTGCATACCATCCACAAGGAAGAAGTGCGGGGAGAAGGAATATAAAACAGTTAGCTGAAGAGATGCTGATCCAGATTTGGCTTGAGACTGTTTTCCCTGACAAGGCTTAGGGGTCCTGGCTCTGGTGAGAGAACAGGGGCTGTCACTGAGTGCAGGGTGAGTTGTTTTGCAGCTGGAATGAGCAGTTCTGCTGGGCTCTGGCTGGCAAAGGTGTGCCCTGCAAGCTGCTGCGGGGTTGCGGGGGGTTGCCTGGTCTTGAACTCCAGGCTCACCCTGCTACTTTCCTTTTGGTGATTAAAGCCACAGATGTGGTGCCTGCTGGCTTTCCTTTGATAGATAAGGGATGGTCTAGGGCTTCCTGTGACGTGGATGTGAGATTAGATTGTGGTGTGGTAAGCACACGAGGTGGAGTTAAAGGGGCTCTTGCCTGTATCCGGGCAGATGGGTCCCATCAGCAGCAGGTCTGTGCCAGCAGTGAACTGTGCTCTGCAGTTTGGCCTGAGGTTGTGGGGATCTGGGAGAGCAGGTACTGCCTCATGTCCCATGAGGTGTGAAGCTTGGTGGCTCATGGGTGGGGAAACAAGTGACACTGGGGTGAGGAGTCACTGCATGAGGTTGGTCCCAGCTAAGAGGTGGGGACACACTAAGTTGGTTTGTCACAGACCAAAGCAGGACTTAAAACACTTTTCCTTTCTTTCAAATTCTCCAAACAACCATCAGCCATGGGAGTATGTTCCCCTGTTTCAGCACAGGCTGATCTGTGTGTGCAAGGAGATGTAGTGTCCAGTCTCTCAGGTGCTTTGGGTGTTCCATCAAGACCACTGTGGCAGGAAACCATAGGTGAGGCTGTCTGTTCCCTAGAAATGCCTGGTGCTTCCTCATTAGCATTCCTGGACCAGCATCAAATGGGAGTATCAGCAAATTGGAATTGGTTTAAAACAACTGCTGCATTGCTCAGTGCTCAGCTACAGTCTTCTGAAATGCCATCCCCATTTTGGCACAACCACTCCAGCTGTGGCTGGAGTCCAAAGTGATCCCTCAGTCGGACTGAGAAATGTCTGTGCTTGCCCTGCCATGCAGATGTTTTCTAGCTGCTTTCTCTACACTCCTCTTACAGCATCTCAGTGGCCAAGCTGAAATAAATGCATTAGATCTTAACTACATGAGAACAGGAGTGATGGACAGGTGGGGTGAGGGGGAGGCTTATGGCTGGAATCATCATGGTCATCCATGAAAAGGAGGCAGATCTCTCATGCCCTGCAGAGGAAATAGTGTGGGTTTCTGCTCCCTGTCTCCTTGTGCAGCTCTGCCTACTCTGCAAGGAGCTGAGAAAGTGATGACTTTGGATGCTGCTTGGGGCATCAGAGGGGCAGGAGGGAACACAGGGCCCTGCCCAGGAACATTCCTGGGCTTGCTCAGCCCTTGGTTAGCTGGTGTATAAGAATTTTGGCACTGACTGACACACTGTCCTTGGTTTCTGCAGCCCATCTCCAGAGGAGGGAATGGGTGATGAATTCGACCTGATGGATCACTCAGATCTCTACATCCTCGACTTCAGTACGTGAGCACTTCCTGCCCAGCCTGTAACTCTTACCACAAGACGCCCTGTGAGCAGGCCCTGCTTTGAAGCACCTAACTGTGCCCTCTATGGCTGCAGGTGCCATATCCTGGAGCCAGACAGCTGTGTCTGACCAGTGCTTGGCTTAAGGCAGAGCAGCCAGAGCTGCAGCCATGCTTTGTGCACTCCTGCATGCAAGACCTCTTGTGGGAGCACAGAAGCCACCCTAGCCTGTCCCTGGTGTGCAGTCTGTCTTGTCCCTCAGACAAGACTGCTGTTTCCTGTGGCACTGATTGCTTGATGCTGGAGCCTCCATGGTGTCCAATCAAAGCCTGCTGTAGCTAAACTGCTTTCTTTTCACAGGCCCCAGTCTGAAGACTCTGTGTAAGCTAGCAGTGATTCAGTACAGCCTGGACCAGTCCTGCCTTCCCCACGACATCAGGTATGGTGTGCCTTGCTGGGAGCTCACCCTGGGTGCTCTCTGACCTTGAGGTGCTCCAGCCCTGGCTGAGGGCTGCCTGCGGCCCTTGGCACTGTGCGCCTTTGAGGTGGGCTGGGCTGGAGACTGTAGCTGAGGCTAACATGAAGCAAAGCTGCTCTAGCCCTGGGCACTGTGTTTGTGCTTTCTCTCAGTGTATCCTCTTTGTGTGTTACAGATGGGAGCTCTCAGCCATGACAACGAACAGCACCATCAGCCGCCCCATTGTCTCCAACCAGGGCTGAAGACAACTCGTCCTTCTACCACCCTGCCCTCACCCCTCCACATACTGACCTCTTGCTCCACTGCCTGCATGAATTTTTAGCCCTTTCAAGCAAGGAATGTGTGAGCTCGGTTTGTCTTGCCCTAGCTAGGCCTCCCTCTGCCCTTGTCACGCTTTGGGCAACACAAGTGGACAGGCAGAGCTGGCCACTGAGGGAAAAACTGTCTGGCCCCAGCAGCACAGACCCTCTCCTGTGACCCCTCTCCTTGCTGGTGGCTCTAGAGCTTCCTTTCCCTTTGCCTGTGGAACTGCAGCTGTGCTGTCCGGTGTCCATCCACTTTCCAAGGGCCTGAATCAACTCTTACCACCAGCCATGGCTCTGGGGTTGATGTCAGGGTCAACCTGAACTGTTCCTGCATTGCCTCAAGAGAGCAGGAACCTCTACACCTGCTCCTGCCAGCACTGACAGCTTCCTGGCACTAAATGGCAGGCCCCAGCTCCAAGCTGAGCCCAGTGTGGGGGCCTGGGCCCGGCTGGACACTGCCCAGCTCCCATTGTAAAACAGCAACTGGGGGAAGTTTTATAAATGGTGAGGCAGACATGGCTTCTGTGTGTCCTAGCAGGTGAACTGGGGGAGAAAAGGCGTGAGAGGGGAGAGACTGAACCAGGTGCTTTTCCCTGAAGCTGCAGGCTTGTGGCAGCAGCAGGCACAGTGGCTGATGTAAGCCACAGCCCTGCCTGGGATGGGGAAGGGAAGCTGGGCCCCCCCCAGCAGCACTGCCATGGGACACCTGTCTCCTGCCCAGAACTGTACTGTCCTGCAGGAGGACAGAAGGAAAATGCTGTACGTCTCCTGGGCTACACTGCCTCAGGTAGGTGGATGCCCTGCAGCTTCCTGCTTCAGGGCTGGAGGTGCAGGGATGCCTGGGACAGCCTGCCTGGGTGGCACAGAGGGCTGTGGTCAAGCCCTTTCCCACCAACTTGAGGCGTCTGATGTGAAGAGGAGCTCCAGTGGCAACTGTAGTGGGGCTAGTGCAGAGAAAGCTAAGGAAGCACTCGGGGCTTTTCCTGGGATGTAAAGTCACAGGGGCAGCTGAGATGGTGGTGGCTGCGTGCCAGGAACCTGGGTGGCAGAGGGCCCAGGCTGTCTCCCCTGCCCTGAAGGCTGGCACATAGCCAGGGTCAAGTGCTTATCCAGCAGCACAAGGTTGCAGAGGTGCCTGGGCTCCTCAGCCTGCAGGAGGTGGCCAATGGAGCACAATGGAGCAGTCTGGAGCGGCGTGAAAGCAGTGAAAACCCCGTGGCAAGAGAACAGAAGGCCCTACAGTGGTGACAAGAGCTTGTTCTTCACACTAGCAGCACCTCGCTGTGATAGGTGATGAGCATCATTGGCCTGGAAAGAAACAGGTTGTGCTGTGACAGCACGTCTGGCTGAGGGGGAGCAGCCCCAGCCTGGGCTCATCCTTTGTGGTCCTTGGCACCTGCAGGTTACCAAGAGGACTTAGGTGAACATTTACCATGCGTTGTCCAGCGGCTCTGACTCCCTTCTATCAGCTGCCTCAGCCACAGGCACTCTCTCCAAGCTGTGAAATAAACGGTGGAATTTTTTTGCTGTGCACTAAAGCACCAAGCTTATTCTCCTTGCAGGGTGCCAGGCACTAGGAACTGTCCCCTGAGCACCCAGAGTCCCTGTTGGGGGACTGGGTTGTGTGGTGCTGAGCACAGAGGCTCCTCAGTTCTGTCTGTGAATGGCTGTCATTGGGAGAAATCTCAGTCTCTGGGGCATTGACGGGAGACAATAGGCCCCAGAAAAGGCTCAGCACCCCATGCCAAATGCCTCTAGGAGAGCAAACCTTGGTGGGGGAGAATTCTCCTCTGGGAAGAAAAGTGGCTCATCAGTGAGAGGGGTCACTGACATCCCACTCCTCTTCTAAAGGGTTCTCTTGGGTTTAGGGGTGCTGTGGCTCTAACCTGCCTCTGCCAGGAGCCTACTGCAGGCCTGGGCACACTGCTCACCACCTTGATTCTGGTCTCTGCAGTGTATTTTCCTGGCTTATCAGCTCCTTCTCCCAGCATCCATGTCAGTCATCAGAGATGTTGGAGCGCAGCTCCCAGTCAGGCAGACTAGACACAGGATGTTCTGCAGGGCTGGCAGGAGCTGGGCAGATGTGTGCCCCACAGGGAGATCCCTGCTGCCTTTGTCACTGCCCCCCTCCTGAGCGGCAGGTTTGCTTTAAAGACCCTGGCTTCCTTTTATTACTTCCCCTCTCAAATTTCAACTGGTTGCAAGGGCTATTTTTAGCAGCCTGCCTTCTAAAAATAGCCCTGAGCTGTTTGGAGTTGCGTCACAAGAGGTAATTCTCGCCCGTGAGTGGCTTGGCCTCTGCGCCCCAGGAGGGTACAAAAGGAGGCCAGGAGCAGCAGGGTCAGCAGGTTCAGCCACAGCCGGAGGCGAAGGAGGCAGCGGTTCCCTGCCAGCGGTTCCCTGCCAGCTGCAGCCATCCCAGCCCGGGCAGCATGACCATCTTCTGCAGCCACTGCCACCGGCCACTGCAGGCAGAGATGAGCTGCCTGCCCGCGAGGGCCAAGCAGGCGCCCAGCGCCTCCAGGCCGTTCAGGTGAGCTCTCTCCCACCTCCTGCCATCCCTCAGGGCTGGGATAGCTTCCCAGAATCCCGGGATAGCTGCTGTAGGGTCTGACGGCCCTTGCAAGGTGCTGACACCAGCAGCGGGACTGCCAGCCAACGCATGGGGAGGAGGTGCAGGAATTTGGAGGGGTATTTTAGGTGGTGTAGGAGGAAAGGCATATTGTACTGGGCTGGGGTGCACATTCCAGCACCGGATGCAGTTTCCATCCTGGTGGGGATGTTGTGTCACATGGGCTCCCCACCAAAGCACAGGTCATTGTCCAACCTGGTGCCCAGCAGCAGAGGCACCAGCCATACCAGCGGCATGTGCCCCTGGGTAGGCTTAAGCACCTCTGCCTGTGCCCACAAGGTTTGCTCTCCTAGAGCAGCAGCAGCTGGCACGGCTGCTGAGCATCTCCACTCCATATCCCCGAGCTCGCAATTCTTCCCACAATGACAGGCAGGGAACACTGTCCCTTCCCCTCCCTGGACACGTGTCCCAGATGGCTGACTTTGCAGGTCAACCAAGAGCGCTTCCAAGGCTCGCCGAGACCAGATCAATGCGGAGCTGCAGGCGCTGCGCTCCCTGCTGCCCATCTCTGCACAGGAAAAGGAGCGGCTCTCCTACCTGCACACCATGGCCCTGGTGTGCCTCCGGCTGCGGGGGGCTCAGCTGTTCCCTCCAGGTACCCTCAGCACTGCTGTACTCCACACTCGCTTGGCTCTGTGTGGGGCACTGCCCCTGCCTCATCCAAGACAACACTTCACCCTCATCCCCCTGCAGGCTTGGCTCCTCCTTCGGGACCGGCCCTTGGCACAGAACTACTCTCCCTGCTCCCTGGGTTTCTGCTTGTGCTCTCAGCAGACAGCAAGCTGGTCTACATCTCGGAGAACGTGACTCAGGTCCTGGGCCTCTCCGTGGTAAGGCCTGCTCACTGGGCATTTGCAGTCACTGTCCCCATACCCATCCTGGTGCCTTTATTGCCTGCACAGCACGCTGCCCCAGCAGACACTGGGCTGTGGCTCCAGCAGGCTGTGCACCCACGAAGCCAGCCAGGGCCCCCTGAGACAGGCACAGTCTCTGAGGGCAGCCCTCTCTTTGTCAGGTGGAGCTGCTCGCCCAGGGGGACACGGTCTTTGACATCCTGGATGGGCGAGTGGGAGAGGATGTGCACAAGAAGCTCCTCCTAGCCCAGGAGGAGCCTGGAAGGGGTAAGGGAGGCCTCAGCTGGCATCTCATGGATCTTGCCACCCTGCTCTGGCCCTTGGCTGTGACTTGAGAGCACACCAGCCCTGCTGGGAGCAGAGTGAGGGAGCTCCTGCCCCACTCTGAATGGTGTGTTTCCCTGCAGAAGTCACTTTTGTCAGCGAGATGCGCACGTCCAAGGCCTTCCGGCTGCAGCATGGGGGGAATCGGGTCGTGGCAGTGTGCGGGCGCTTTCTGGCCCTGTGCTGGCCACCCTCCCCCTCCACCACAGCCTTCCTGGCTCTCTGCACACCCCTTGTGCAGTCGCCCACAGATGGCGAAGCTGCTTCCCAGGATGATGTATTCCAGAGCATGCATCTGCTGGACATGACGTTTATTGATGTCACGGAGAGGTGAGAGATGCCTGCTTGTACCACAGCCCCAGCTGTACATGTCAGGCAGCAAGAATCATTTCCCTTCACCAAGCCTGCGTATGGGATGCAGGCTCCGTACAGCACTCAGTCCCCACTCCTCTTGTCATCCCCAGTGTCACCTACCACCTAGGCTACCACCGGGAGGAGCTGGTCGGTCAGTCGTGGTACAGCCTCCTGCACCCTGAGGATGCTGACCTGGCAGCTGCCCAGCACAGGGCCGTGGGTGAGTGTCATACCCAGGAACGTGCGTGCTGTCCCCTGGCTCCATGGTCTGGTTATGCCTGAAACGCGGCTATCTAGAACAGCAGTGACAAAGCGAATTCAGCCCTCCCTGCTGTGACTCCCTGCTCCAAAAAGGATGAGGTGGGGAAGTGGTTACACACCTCATATACTGTCTATAAGCAGTTTCCAAGCTGGGGGTGGGCATCCTGCTTTGCCACGGTATACAGAAGAGAGACAAGTGCATCTAAGCCAAATCTCTTCGGGAGGGCAAGAGTGCTACGGACCTGACTCTGCTCTGTGTTGCTTCTGTCCCGATGGGGCCAGACTAGTGACCGGCGGCAGAGCCCATCGGGGCAGCCTGCGGGGCTATCCGGGCACCCTGGGGCCGTGCCCTGCTGCCGGCTCACACAGTCCCTTCCCTTGCCCGCAGCGCTGGGGCCCGGGGCCGGGCCGGCAGCGGGGAGCGCCGTGCTGCGAGTGCTGCGCAAGGACCGTGCCTGGAGCTGGCTGCGCGTGTGGGCGCGGCGGGACGGCGGCTGCATCACCTGCACCTGCCGCTGCCTCAGGTGAGTGGGATCTCGGGGGCGGGGGCTGCATCACCTGCCCCTGGGGCTGCCTCGGGTGAGCGGGATCTGGGGATTGGGGGC